TCGCCTCTTAACGGCACCTTCTGGTCTCCTCAAAATAATTTTTCTCTCTTCGAAGTCACCTTTTTATAATCCCCTCTACCTTCCCCTTTAGTTTCTTTCTCTATTCTAACTACCTCCCTTCGTAACCCTTGCTAGCTTCCATTAATCTAGCCTTCCTCCTAACTCCCCCTTAATCTCACCTTGCCGCCTAACCTCCACTTTTGGACTCCCCTCTTCAACTACCAATGCTGCAAATCGATAGCTTGGAAACAGAGATTGTGAGAAAGATCTTCCTACACTTTCCCTTCTTGCTCTTCTTCTTGTTTTTTTTTTCAAAGTCATCCATTCTCCATAAATCCTAGTCTTCTTCTCCTCCCTCTTCCCTTTTTCTTGCTCCATTCTCACTTCACCTCCCATATCTGCATCCTTCTTCTCCTTCTCTATGCATTCCCTCACAGTATGCCCATATCTCCCACAATTAAAGCATAAAAGATGTAACCCTTCATATTCAACAGCATACTCTTTTTGTTCATATATTATTTTCGTCAAGAGAGGCTCCTTTAGATTCACCTGCACTCCCATTCTAGCAAAGCTCGCTCTAGCCAGTAATAAAGTGAATATATCAACTTTAGTAGTATGACCAATCGGATCACCAATCGCAGAAAGTATAATCTCGTCTCATAAGCCTCAAGAGGGAAATCTGTTAATCTTACCCAAACAATAGCCTCCTCAATAGGTTTTGACATAGGATCAAAATTCCTCTTCCATTTTCTAATTGTCAAATGATGGTCCTGAATCATCCAGGGAACCCCGTCAAAGCCAGATCATAATTAGCTTGATTTGAAAACGTGACTACAAAGAACTCATTCCTCAAATCCACCACCGATACAACCCCCTCTTTTGCCCACATTCTCTGTAGTCTCTCTTCCATTTTAGCCATGCCAAGTTTCCAACCCAGCAATTTAACAATCGAGCTTCTAGAAAACGGCTTACAAATATGATTCACTACATTTGGCGATAATACAAACTCATGAATATTCTTGTTACCTCATTTGTGCTCAATTATCGTGATCCCTTCCTTCAGCTTCGCAAATTGCTCACTACGAACCTCCGATGCCTCCTCGCTTCCTTTATGAATGCCTTTCAGAGTGTCGCTAAATGATCGCTGCTTCTCTACTTCTATCGTTTCTGATCCCTCCTCGTCTCCATCCTTACCTTTCTTTTTACTTCTCTCTAACAGATTTGCTTCCTTTGCAGAACGACATCCATGAACTTGTAACTCGGGGAAGATCGCAAGAGAGAGCAGGGAATGACTCATTTGTTACTTCTTGGTGAAAGCGGCCATATGCAAATTAAGCACTAAAGGCTACTTGCAAACTATCTCAAGTGAACCATATATGCACTACATATCTCTAAGAATGACAATAAGGTTAGAAGAGCAAAATTTCAGAACGATTCTTAATATAAGAGTTAGATAACTGATTTGAAGATATTAAAAAAATTAGTTTAATTGATTAATTGTAACAAATGTATATTAATTTTTCTCAACTACCCTCTTGAATCATATACATTAAAACTATGTCTTGACAAATACCCTTACAATTAATATGGGTATTTTAATAAAAAATATTATAAATTGGAGAGATAGAGTGAATTGAGGTCTTATAATCAGAATCAAATTCAATACCCAATTAGCTCTTATATTAAAAAGTAGAGGTAGTATGATCATAGGATGTTGGTGTGTGCATGCGTTAGTAGCAACATGTACATCGGCTTAGAGCTATAAAGACAATGCCAAGACAGAGGGAGATAATTATCACATGTAATATGATAAAGTGTAGTTGTTTTTATTAAAAAAACAATAAAATGTATTACTTTGATTCTTATTATAAGTCATTTGTAACTTATTTTCACATATTAAAGAATATATTAAATTAATAAAATTTTTGAAATTTATACATTTACAAATCATTTTCACCTTTTGTCTTCTCTTTTTTCCTTTTACAATGAGAATTACATAAACTTAAATTGAAAAAAATTTATTAAATACTCTATAAGTGATTTATATTTATGACAAAAATTTTTTTCTTATAAATGAATTATAAATTATAATTAGGATTAGAGTGGTACTTTCTCTAGTAAGATGTTAGTTAACGTTTCTCACATACTAAGAAATGGAAGTTTAATCATTAAATGTGTATTAAAATGATAAAAATTTCCTATTTTACCTCTAAAAATGATAAAATTGCCTTCAGGATTACACTTTTATTATTTCTCAGTTTTTTCTTATATTTAATAGGGACAAAAGTAAAAAAAAAATCATATTAATTATTCTGATAAAGTTTTATATTTTGAACCTCAATCTTTTTCTAACAAATTTTTTATATTACGGAGTAGTTACAAAAACATAAACAAATCAGATGAAGAGTTGTAAAATGTGTTAAAATAGTGATATGGACTTACCAGATGACACTTAACTGAATTTTGTATAAATAACAAAAGGGAGAAAAAAAGAACCAGTCTTTAAAACACAATTGTTAAGCTTCTTTTTTTCCCCCCGTTGTTTGTTTGAGAAATTGTTCATTGTATTACGTTTTGAGAACTCATTCCCCTCTATTATCTGTATTGCGTTTTGAGGACCTATTCATTTTTTGTCCCCATTATCCACACAAGGTCAAATTAAGTATCATTTGATGAATTCACATTATCATTTTAATATCGTTTACAATATTTTAGTAGATTTTAATATTAGTATATTTTCAAGGATTAACGTTTTACAACGAACTAAATTTTGATGACTAAAACTATAGATTTGGAATTCCAGCAATTAAAATTAAAATAGTATCAAAGTCAATTCACCTGCACTACCATTCTAGCAAAGCTCCCTCTAGCCAATAATAAAGTGGATATATCAACTTTAGTAGTATGACCAATCGGATCACCAATCGCAGAAAGTATAATCTCGTCATAAGCCTCAAGAGGGAAATCTGTTAATCTTTCCCAAACAATAGCCTCCTCAATAGGTTTTGACATAGGATCAAAATTCCTCTTCCATTCTCTAATTATCAAATAATGGTCCTGAATCATCCAGGGAACCCCGTCAAAGCCACACCATAATTAGCTTGATTTGGAAACGTGACTACAAAGAACTCATTCCTCAAATCCACCACCGATACAACCCCCTCTTTTGCCCACATTCTCTGTAGTCTCTCTTCCATTTTAGCCATGCCAAGTTTCCAACCCAGCAATTTAACAATCGAGCTTCTAGAAAACGGCTTACAAATATGATTCACGACATTTGGCGATAATACAAACTCATGAATATTCTTGTTACCTCATTTGTGCTCAATTATCGTGATCCCTTCCTTCAGCTTCGCAAATTGCTCATTACGAACCTCGGATGCCTCCTCGCTTCCTTTATAAATGCCTTTCAGAGTGTCGCTAAATGATCGTTGCTTCTCTACTTCCATCGCTTCTGATCCCTCCTCATCTCCATCCTTACCTTTCTTTTTACTTCTCTCTAACAGATTTGCTTCCTTTGCAGAACGGCGTCCATGAACATGTAACTCGGGGAAGATCGCAAGAGAGAGCAGGGAATGACTCATTTGTTACTTCTTGGTGAAAGCGACCATATGGAAATTAAGCACTGAAGGCTACTTGCAAACTATCTCAAGTGAACCATACATGCACTAAATATCTCTAAGAATAACAATAAGGGTAGAAGAGCAAAATTTTAGAACGATTCTTATTATAAGAGCTAGATAACTAATTTGAAGATATTAAAGAAATTAGTTAATTAGTTAATTGTAACAAATGTATATTAATTTTTCTCAACTACCCTCTTGAATCATATACATTAAAACTATGTCTTGGCAGATATCCTTACAATTAATATGGATATTTTAACAAAAAATATTATAAATTGGAGAGATAGAGTGAATTAAAGTCTTATAATCAGAGTCAAATTCAATATCCAATTAACTCTTATATTAAAAAGTAGAGATAGTATGATCATAGGATGTTGTTGTGCGTACGCGTTAGTAGCAAAGTGTAGTTTTTTTTAATAAAAAATCAATAAAATGTATTACTTTGATCCTTATTATAAGTCATTCATAACTTATTTTCACATATTAAAGAATATATTAAATTAATAAAATTTTTGAAATTTATACATTTAAAAATCATTTTCAACTTTCTCTTCTCTTTTTCTTTTCACAACGAGAATTACATAAACTTAAATTGAAAAAAATTTATTAAATACTCTATAAGTGATTTATATTTATGACAAAAAATTTTTCTTGTAAATGAATTATAAATTATAATTAGGATTAGAGTGGTACTTTCTCTAGTAAGATATTGGTTAACTTTTCTCACATACTAAGAAATGGAAGTTTAATCATTAAATGTGTATTAAAATGATAAAACTTTCCTATTTTACCTCTAAAAATGGTAAAATTGCCTTCAGGATTACACTTTTATTATTTCTCATTTTTCTCTTATGTTTAATAGGGACAAAAGTAAAAAAAATCATATTAATTATCCTGATAACGTTTTATATTTTGAACCTAAACATATCCCCCTTGTTTTTTAACTAAAAAACGAAGTCGTATTAAATTTGATAAAAAAAAGAAAGAAAATAAAATAAAATTGATGCGCCAAAACTGCGTGATTGACTAGTTGACAAGACTGTCTGCTTTCAGTTAACATGTTCATTACTCATTAGGCCCCTGAGTCCTTGACCGAGTGGTCGTTCAAATTTTCCTTTCTCATACGTATGGCCGTGAGTGAACACGAAGCGTCGTGTTAGAATCAATTCCTTTCCTGCCGTGCCGAGAATCTGAAATCTCCTTCTCTTTCATCAAACCTCATCCACAGTTAGAATCCGATTCTGCGTGGAAATTTCTACAATATGAGTGCAAGAAAGTATCGATTAGTATTCTTGTCGAGAAATTATAGTTCTTACAGTTCTGTAATTACCCTCCTTCTTTCTCCAGAAAGCAATTTAGACTTGTCGCGCAAAAATGTCACCGGACGGCCATCTCATTTCGTCGACCCCAGGAGCCTTCAGGCTCCGCTGGGACGTCTTCCTGAACTTCAGAGGTGCCGATACTCGTCGTTGCTTCACTACTCCCCTTTACAACGCCCTCGAATCTCGCGGCGTTCGGGTTTTCCTTGACGACTTTGAACTGGATCGCGGTAACAAGATAGACCCGAGTCTGTTTGATGCCATAGATGACTCGGCCGCTTCGATTATCATCTTCTCCCCGAGATATGCTTCTTCTCATTGGTGTCTGGATGAGCTCGCAAAGATTTGGAACTGCGGGAGACTGATTCTGCCGGTCTTTTTCAACGTCGACCCGAGTCATGTTCGGAAACAAGAGGGTCCATTCAGAAGATACTTCAAGAAACACGAAGCCGAGAGGAGCAAAGAAGAGGTAAGCAGATGGAGGGAAGCTTTGAAGAAAGTAGGTGGAATTGCTGGTTTCCCTTTCTGGTATCCCAGGTCATTTCTGTTACTGAGTACTCCTCTGTGTTGAGACTAGTGTGTAGCTGTAAATAGTAGTTACATCCATTTACAACTATCTACTATTCTCCACATTCTGTTTCGCTAATTAATTTGCTATATTTCCTGGTATAGTGAAAGAGAAAAGAGAGATGACCTGATTCGACTTTTAGTGACAAGGATTCTGAGGGAACTGAGTAATGCTCCAGTTGGTGTGGCTGAGTTTACCGTTGGACTCGATGCTCGCATTGAGCAATTGTTGGAATTGTTAGACATGAGATCCAACGGCATGAGGGTATTGGGATTGTATGGGATGGGTGGGATTGGTAAGACTACCCTAGCGAAGGCTTTTTTTAACAGAATCATTGTGGATTTTGAGCATCGCAGCTTCATTTCAAGTGTTAGAGAAGTTTCATCCAAAGATGAGGGCCTAATTTCTCTAAGAAACAGAATTATAAGTGACATTTCCTCTCAAGCAGTGGTTGGTAACGATATTTCTGCTTTCAGAAGAGCAGTTAGTGAAAACCGTGCTCTGATAATCCTGGATGATGTGGATGATGTGAAGCAGCTCGATACTCTAATTGGCAAAAGAGAATGGTTCCATGAGGGAAGCCGTATATTAGTCACATCAAGGGATACGCGAGCTCTGCCTGAGACTCATGTTAATGTCTTGTACGAAGTTCAGATATTGGATGACTCTGAGTCGCTAGAACTATTCTGTTACCATGCAATGCGAAGAAAGAAACCTGCAGGCGAAACTTTCTTGAAATTGTCGAAGGAAATAGTGTCTCTAACAGCAAGATTGCCTTTAGCTCTGGAAGTGTTTGGCTCAATGTTGTTTGGTAAGAGAAGGGAAAAGGAATGGGTTGATGCTGTGGATAAGCTGAAGCTGATTCGACCTGGGAATCTCCAAGAAGTGTTGCAGATTAGTTATGAGGCGTTAGATAAACAAGAGAAATGCGTCTTCCTTGATATTGCTTGCTTGTTTGTCCAAATGAGCATGAAGCGAGAAGATGTGATCGACGTATTGAGAGGCTGTGGATTTAAGGGAGAGATAGCAATCGCAGTTCTCAGAGAGAAATGTTTGATCAAAATCAGAGAGGACGAAACCATTTGGATGCATGATCAAATTAGAGACACGGGGAGGCAAATTGTTGTGTATGAAGACCTTGATGATCCTGGTATGCGTAGTAGATTGTGGGATCGATCTGAAATTCTAAATGTCTTGAGGAATTTGAAGGTAAGGATCCTGATAAAGGCTTTTCAGTTTGAATATAAATTCTTTTTGTGTGTCTGTGTCATCTGAGATGCTTCGGAGAACTCCATTATCATCCTTGTTAAGGCCAAAAAATTAATTATTTTCTATGGATTAAATAGTTTTTTAAAGATATTATTATGATGTAATTATTTGATTTTAACAAATTTTAACAGCTGCGTTAGAGTTATGCCTTAAATTAAATTGATGTTGATATAGGTAACTATATTAATCTGTCAATGAGTTTTTCCAAAAGGGATTTAAAATTCAGTGGTGATAACTATATTTTAAAAAAAAAATTGAATTTATAAAAGTTCTTGGTAAGGTAAAAGTATGTTATGTATGTCCTCGTGCTACTTGTCTTGTGCGGGCTGGAAAAGTGACTAAAACAAAAGAGAAGATTGAATTTTATAAGGCAGCCGTGACAGATTATTTAATCAGAGCAACTACCTTAGTTAGATTTGGTTCATTAGAATATTACAATGCCATAATACGTCGTCACTTTGCATGCAGGCATGCATCGGACAATAACGGACATACTTGACATTAAAATATTATATAATGTCTGGCATATATTTGACACAGACTATAGTGATTTTTTATATATTAGCGATTAGCGATTTATGGCATCTTCTCCACCCCACTAATAATAGTGCCTATTTCTTATATATGTTATTAAATATTTGGTTGTTCTGGAAACCGTAGGGAACTCGTAGTACTCAAGGGATGGTCCTAGACTTCGAGAAAAGATCTGCTAAAGATCATAAAGGTGATGAACTAATTTCTAGGAACACAAATGCCCTGGCATTCTTTAAACAGATGCACAAGAAATATTTTCAACGAGTTGAGAAAGACAAAGAGGCTCTAGTGATTCACACTAAGTCCTTTGAACCCATGGTGAACTTGGCGCTGCTTCAGATCAATAATTTGCGATTGGAAGGGAAATTCAAATCTTTCCCTGCAGAACTGAAGTGGCTACAATGGCAAGGATGCCCTTTAGAATTCATGCCTTCTGATTTTTGGCCCAGGGAACTTGCTGTCCTTGACCTTACTCACAGCAATGTTCAGAACTTGTGGGATCGGAAAGGCTCCAAGGTAGTCTTCATTCTTCAATTTCCATGTTCATTATCTTATTTTTAGTTATATCATGATATTGCTACAGACATCTTAGTGGGTCACATTAAAAAAAAAAAAATTCTAACTTAAAAGAATTATCAAATGAGAAGGTTACAAATCCTTGCATTCAAATTATTCATGCACAATTTATGGATATTTATTTTTAGAGAATGAGATTTGGAGTTCGAGTTTGTATGAATGCCTTTAGAAAAGCTACCTCCGATTACCACGTGACCTTTGACTCAAATCTAGATTAGTCAGGTTTCAACGTTCCTCCGAATATTAGATGTTTTGAAAGAAAAACCTTCAGGTGCAACAAAAAATATACAAAGTTAGAAGGTGCGCCTCCTAGTATAGAGAACACACTTAAGTGTGACTTTTAGATATTCTCGCAATTGTTTTTTTTTTTTTTGGTGCCAAAACAAATTTTTTAATTATGTTTTGCGAGAAAACATGATAGAAAATACTTGAGGAACTTTTCTCTAAATTTTTCTTCTAATTTCTAGTTTCCTTTTACTTTGGAGTCATCTTTAAGCTTTATCTTTTACGAATCAGACTTAATTATTTTTCTTTCCCTTTTATATTACTGCCTGACACGGGTTAAATCTGACGTGCAAATAGTGAGCCACTACTAAGATGCTAATATCAATTCTCTAATGTCATAATAACATATTACGTTGGCATGCAGGTGCCAGAGAGCATAATGGTCATGAACATGTCCCACTGCTACCAACTAGAAACTCTTCCTGATCTCTCTGGGTGTCAACGTTTAGAGAAGATTGTTCTTGAGAACTGCTTCAACCTGAGTAGGATTCACAAATCAGTTGGCAGTTTGACTACACTTCGTCATTTGAATCTGACTCTTTGTAGAGAACTTATTGAGTTACCCAATGATATATCTGGGCTGAAAAATCTGGAGAGCCTCTGTCTCTCTGACTGCCGGAAGTTGAAATCGTTACCAGAAGAAAATATGGCCAACTTGAAATCACTGAGAAAACTTCTTGCTGATCGCACGGCCTTAGTGAAGCTGCCTGAGACTATTTTTCACCTTGAGAAGCTTGAAACTCTTATTTTAAATGGTTGCCATCACTTAAAAAGGCTACCCAACAACATAGGACTCCTGGGTTCTCTGCAAGAGCTGTCTCTCGACCAATCTGGATTAGAAGAACTACCCAACTCTATCGGGCGTTTGAAAAACCTTGAAAGGCTTGGTTTGATGCATTGCCAATCTCTCACTGGGATTCCCGATTCTATTGGAAATCTCATATCACTTTCAGAGCTTCGGCTTTTTGGTAGTGCTATTGGAGAGATTCCTTCTTCAATTGGATCGTTGTCTTATCTAAAAGAACTCTCAGTAGGAAATTGTAAGTTTCTGAATAAATTGCCTGAGTCAGTTAAGTCTTTGGTTTCCATTGTTGAGCTTCAGCTAGACGGGGCAGCAATCACAGATTTACCAGATGAGATTGGAAATATGACATTACTTAAAAAGCTTGAAATGAGGAATTGTCAGATGAAATATCTACCTAAATCGATTGGCAACCTCACAGCTCTCACAACCTGGAACATTTTCAAAGGTAACATTGTAGAACTGCCTGACTCCATTGGAAGGCTCGAGAATCTAGTCCATTTAAGGTTGGACCAATGTAAAATGCTCAGAAGGCTTCCACATTCTATAGGACATTTGAAGTCCTTGTTTCATCTTCGGATGGAGGAAACGGGTCTGACAGAATTACCTCAAAGCTTTGGCATGCTTACCAGTTTAAGGACGTTGAAGATGGCCAAGAAGTCCGAAAATAACATGCTTGAAGATTCTTTTGTAATCTCATCTTTTTTGTGCAATATGATATTTCTGTGTGATCTGGATGCTCGTGGTTGGAGAATATCTGGGAAAATTCCTGATAATTTTGAGAACTTGTCCTCTTTAGAGACTTTGAATCTGAGCCAAAACAAATTCTACAGCCTTCCTTCCAGTATGGCAGGCCTTTCCTTTCTCAAGGAACTTCATATTCAAAACTGCATTGAACTGGTGTCTCTCCCTGCACTTCCCTCAAGCTTGACGAGGCTGAATGCTACAAACTGTTGTGCCTTACAAAGCATTCATGATCTCTCAAATTTAAAAAGTCTGAAGGATCTGAACCTCACAAATTGTGTACAATTGGTGGATATTCCTGGCCTTGAACGCTTGGAGTCTCTGAGGTGGTTGTACTTGGGTGGATGCCTTAAGTGCTCCTCCGCAGTCCGCAAAAGGCTTTCTAAGGTTTCTTCTTTCCCTCTCTTTCTCTCTCCCATCATCAATGAATAAGTAAACGAAGATTGAAAGCATGGATACATTCTTGTTTATTTTTGGGATAAACCAGACCAATGTCTATTTTATCAATTTTTTGTTTTCCCGTAGTAGTCAACTGACTCCCTTGTATGACAGGTTACACTGAGGAATTTATTGAACTTGAGCTTGCCAGGAACAAGATTACCCAATTGGTTTTCGGGACAAGCTGTAAGCTTGTCGAAGCCCAAGTATCGTAAACTAACAGGTGTAATCATAGGTATCATTCTTTCAATCAACCATGATGTACCTAGTGAACTGCGAAATGTTCTTCCTGGATTGGTTGATCTCAAGGTAGATGTCTTCAAACTCGGCAAAAATACATGTACTTCAGGTTTGGACTTGCGTGGGTTGCCAAAATCCAATGAGGAACACATATACCTTTGCCGGTACCCGGATTACCATCATCTCTTCCCTTTCATGCGAGATGGTGACACATTATGCGTGACTCGATTAAACCCACCTGTGGATAAGGGGTTAGAGTTGAAAAAATGTGGGTTTCATTTGATCTTTGAAGGCGATGACGATTACGGCGGAGCTGAAGAATCTGTGGGCAGAAACTTACAATCCGTGTCAGAAAGATTGGCCAGATTTTTCGACAGTTACGAAGAAGGAGGTAGCTCCGAAAATGGAATTGAGAGTGAAGATAATGATGATGAGCGCCAAACGCAATTGGAGACTCAAGAAAGGGAAGAAACAATCTCGTCATCGTCTATCCTTGGCATCTCTAATATCTTCTATTTTATTAGTGCGTTCGTTCTCTTCTTGAGCTGGCTGCTAATAAAATTTTTCTTCAGCTATGATATATAGAAAAAGATAGTTAACCTTTAGCATCTGTAAACCATCGTGTATGGGATATAACACCGCCAAACCGTCCTTTATTCTGACTACTGAGCCGAAAAAAGGGCTTTTTGTGTCTGTGTGGAAGAATACCCTGTGTGTGATGAAATATTTATTGTTTTTTTGAATATAAGCCCTCTTGTCTTAAACGGGAGAATTAGTAGAGAGGTTTGGAATATTAATTTACTTTATTCTCTAAATTTATAATTTTTTTTCTTAATTTGAGTTCTTCAAGAAAAATAACAATTGTTTTGTAAGTAATTAACTTAACTTTTGTAAATTTGGTAGAAAAAATGATTTAAAAAAAAACACAGCCGTCTATTTTTATAAAGGTTTTGAATCATACTTTTATCGAAGAAGGGGTTATTCATTAAATAATCAAGGAACAGAAAGCTCATGGATGACTTCATTAATAAGCATGGATGATACTATTCCGTGATTACTTTCAAATCCCCCTGTTCCCGTATTTTGCATTGTATTTAGAAGTTTATTATAGTTGGAATAAATGCCAAATATGCAAATAGGAAGGGAGAGAGAAATATGAAACCTGAGATCCTAATGAAGAAGCAGAAAAGATGAGGAGGAAAAAGAAAAAGAGGGAGTGATGGAGGAAACTGGATGAAAGCTTTTTGATGTTGGAGGTTTGCAAAGGTCCTTCCTTTGGAGACTACTCAACAGGACACGTTAAACTAAAATAAAATGCGATTTATATTTGAATATAAATTGAAATTACTTTATATAATAAAATCATCTTTGGAAAACACATTATTTTAGACCCTATTTTTTCTTGTAAAATTATCAAATTAATGTTTATTCAATATTTAATATTTAAAAGGGGAAGGGACAGCGAATAGGACTGAGATATCCAGTTCTTTTTTTTTCTTTTTTTTTGAATTTCTTGACTTTCTTGATTTGAAAACCAATTGTACATGGTGACTAAGAACTCATGATCAAAACCATATAAAAAAATTGATAAAAATTAGCAAAAAAAAAAGTTTCTTATAAACTTGAAACACAAAAAACAAAAAAACACATCCATTAAAAAAAAACCATGTAGCCCGTATAAAACAACTTGAAAATAACAATCAAACTAATAATTGACAAATATTATTATCATAGTAATATATAAAAGAAATTTATAAAATAAAAAAGATTATATATTAGGATGTGATGCTCTCCACTTGCATCCCATTTTGTATCACATACTTTTCTCCCGTCTCAAAATAACTGGAATTGGCACAAAATGCCAAGATAGGACACAATTAAACATCCCTTAATTTTTCATGATTTGTTTAGTTTAAGTAGCTTTTAAATGTTTATGATTAGCTTTTTATTTATTATTTTAAAAAGTGAAATTAAGAAAAATAATTATAAAAGTTCTAATTGTACTTATTGAAATCCATTAAAAATTTTTATGTGCATTTCAATATATTTACAACAATTTATATAGTAAAATAATTTATAAAATGAAAAGTAACGAAGGAGATATTTGAAAAAAAAAGAAGGGAGAATTTCAATTAGAACCAAAGAAAGACAGATGAAAATTAACTGCCACTAGCACTGTTCATGTTGATGAATAAGTTCATTTTATTGTGTGTTCAAATATATAAGACATTTTGGATTAATAATAAATGATTTCGATTTGATTTTAATCAATATTGTTGCAAATATAGATGAGAAAAAAAATTATAAAGAATTTTCATAGATTGTCAAAAAAAATCTGTTCAATGGAGGTGATAAGAGAAAATGTAGGAATTTTGTTAAGGGCGATTTGGTATTTTTCAACGTTATATTTTTGTATTTGATCCTTATAAATAATTATAATTTTTAACATCATTTTTAATAAATATTATTTTTTCTAGGTCCTTCTCCCCAATTTTTCCTTGATTGTTTAAATTTACCTCAACTCTCAATTTAATATCTTAAATTTATAAAATGTATTTTAGCCCCTTAATCTTAACAAAGTTAATCTCATTCAATAGAAAATGCTGAGAAAACATGTTTTAAATTTTAAGTTTTTCACTATAATCACTCTATATAGTTAAAAATATAGGCATTTAAAGAATTAAATATCTAATAAAATATTCAAAATGCTAAAGTATTAAAAATTCTAGATTTTATACAAATAGCTATATTAAAAAGATTAAAATTCAAATAATGTTTTGTTGGTATTTAATAGCAAAGTCGCTATTTAAGTTTGTTGAATCATCATTTTCAGGGCCTAATAAGATTAAAAAACTTAAAATACTCTTTTCAAAGTTAATAAATTAAATTGAAACTCAATGTAAACATAAATAACTAAAAATATATTTTAGCCTTTTTAAAATTATCTGATATTTAAAAAAATTTATTAAATACTTTTTTATCATGTCTTCTCTTAATTAGTGGACATAATTCTTTTTAAGAGTATTTTCTGAAAAAAATACTAATTGCTATTCACATTTTTCAAAACCTCGTCTAAATAAGAACATCAAAACTTTCTCAAAGGTATCACATAAAAAGGAAGAGGCAGCGACAAACGCGTTCACAAGCATAGATTAGCGTCCTGGTAATAAGACTATTTGATCCTAGATTGTGCATTTTTCATTTTGGGATAATCTGATAGTGCCATTTTATATCCTATATGAAATGGTTTTCAGATTCTGAAAGCCAGCAATCTCCTATAAATCACATACGAAGACAAATTTACTACCAACCAGCTCAGCAAGAAAACCAGCAAACAGAAGAGAGAAAATTGGATTTAGTGGAATTAGATGATGATATCCTATCTTCCCCTTTGAGTGTCTAATTCATTTTGGCACTCATTGTCATCATCTTCACTCTTAATTCCATCATCTTTGGAACTATCTTCTTCGCGAGTGTTGAAAAATTTGGCCAATTTTTCTGACACAGATTGCAAACTTCGCTCGACAGATTCTTCATCTCCACCATAGTCATCATCCCCTTCAAAGATCAAATGAATCCCACATTTTTTCAGCTCTAACCCCTTATCCATAGGTGGGTCTCTCAGTGTCACACAAATTGTGTCACCGTGTCGCAATATAGACATGAGTCGAGAATAATCAGGGTACCTGCAAAGGTGTATGTGTTCTTCATTTGTTCTCGGCAATCCACGCAAGTCCAATACTGAACTATATACATTCATTCCACGTTTGAGGATATTTGCTTTGATATCAACTACTCCAGGAACACGATGTCGTTCACTAGGTATATCATGATTGATTGAAAGAATGATACCTATAATTACACCAGTTATTTCACGGTTCTTGGGCTTCGAAAAGCTTAGAGTTTGTCCTGAAAACCACGGGGGTAATCTTGTAGCCGGCATGCTCAAGTTCCTTAAATTCCTCAGCGCAACCTGTCATTCAATGGGTCAATGAGTGCTACAAAAAGAAATGATGAATCACACATTAATCTGATTTATCCATACTTTTCATATTCTTTTGATTATTCATTGATGATATGATGGGGAAATAGAGGAAAAGAATGAACCTTGGAAAGTCTCTTGCGGATAGTGTAGGAGCATGTAACGCATCCACCAAAGAACAATTTCCTCAAAGACCCTAACCGTTCAAGGCCAGGAATGTCTACCAACTTTTCACAATTGGTGAAGTTTAGATCCTGCAAATTTGTTAAATTTGAAAGGTCATGAATGCTTTGTAAGGTACAACAGTTTGCAGCATTCAGCTCTATCAAGCTTGAGGGAAGAGCGGGGAGAGAAACCAGCTCGATGCAGTTTTGAAGAGAGAGCTTCTTGAGAATCGAAAGGCCTGCCAAACTGGAAGGAAGGCTGTGAAATTTGTTTTGGCTTAGATTTAAGGTCTCCAAAGATGACAAGTTCTCAAAATCATCAGGAATTTTTCCGGATATTCTCCAACAACGAGCGTCCAGATAATTCAGGAACATCATATTGCAGAAAAAAGATGAGATTACAGAAGAATCTTGAAGCAAGTTATTTTCAGACTTATTGGCCATTTTCAACGTTTGTAAGCTGGTAAGCATACCAAAACTTTCAGGTAATTCTGTAAGACCTGTTTCCGGCATCCGAAGATCATACAAGGACTTCAAATGTCCTATAGAATGCGGAAGATTTCTAAGCATTGTGCATTGGTCCAACCTTAAATACTCTAGGTTCTCAAGCCTTCCAACGGACTCTGGCAGTTCTACAATGTTGCCGTTGAAGAGGTCCCAGGTTGTAAGAGCTGTGAGGTTGCCAATCGATTTGGGTAGATATCTCATCTGGGAATTCCTCATTTTAAGCTTTTTAAGCAATGTCATATTTCCAATCTCATCTGGCAAATCTGTGATCGGCGCCCCATCTAACTGAAGCTCAACAATCAAAACCAGAGACTTAATGGACTCAGGCAATTTATTCAGATACTTACAATCTCCTACTGAGAGTTCTTTCAGATGAGACAATGATCCAATCGAAGAAGGAAGCTCTTTAATAGCACTACCATAAAGCTGAAGCTTTGGAAGGGACACGAGATCTCCAATAGAATCAGGAATCTCAGTGAGAGATTTGCAATGCATCAAACCAAGCTTCTCAAGATTTTTCAAATGCCCGACAGAATTGGGTAGTTCTTCTAATCCAGATTTGATGAGAGACAATTCTTGCAGAGAACACAAAAGTCCGATGTTGTCAGGTAGTCTTTTTAAGTTTTGGCAACCATTTAAGATAAAAATTTCAAGTTTATCAAGACGAAGAATAGTTTGGGGGAGCTCCTCTATACCCGTGCCATCAGCAAGGAGTTTTCTTAGTGATTTCAAGTTGGCCATGTTTATTGGTAACGATTTCAACTTCAAGCAGCCAGAGAGACAGAGGCTCTCTAGATTTTCCAACGCAGATATATCATCGGGTAACCTAGTAAGTTCTTTGCAAAGTGTCAGATTCAAATGACGAAGTGTGATCAGATTGCCAATTGATTCGTTAATCCTACGTAGTTTAATACAGTTCACTAGAACAATCTTCTCTAAACCTCGGCAGCCAGAAAGATCAGGGAGAGCCTCCAGGTGGTAGCAGTCGGAAAGGTTCATGACCATTATATTCTCTGGTGCCTGCGTGCCAACAAAATGAGTGGTTATGATATACAGAATTTATATTAGCGCCTTTTATTGATACACTGATTTTCGCGTCACATTTAACAAGGGTCAGGTCATGCTTTAATTAAAGGAGAAACAACACAGAGAGAATTCACTCAGGTTCGAAAAGAATAAACCTTAAACAAAAGAATAAACCTGAAACAAAATTGATATTCTGATCTCCAAATAAAATAAAATGAAATAAAAAATTAGAAGAAATATTTAAAATAATTTAATTAAATCTTATAAGTTTTTTTTTTTTTGGGGTTAATAAGTCTTATAAGTTTTCTGATTAAAAAAAGTATATGTGGTCAAACTCGTACACGCATGCATGCATCCAGACAAACACACACACACATTAAAAAATCCAATTGTACAATGTTGATTGAGGGGTCAAAATACCTATATAAATTTTACTGAAAAACCTAATAGTCACTATCCATAACTTCCACCAAAGTTTTTTCTGAACAAATGGCAAGGGAAAAAAAGTTTTGTTAAATTAAGGCACACCCTGTAAAGTTATCTGTTTTGTTTGATGAATAATTTCAATAAAATAATTTTGTCGCATATCTTTATTGTCCGTGCTTTAGTTATTCATACATCTAGAAGTAATACTCAGATGATGCGAGGCGCCAGGGGAAAAAGGCAATAATAATCAGATGATGAACATGCTAATTGTAGCATGAAGATTGAAGTATACCTTGGAGCCTTTCCGATCCCACAAATTTTCAATATAGCTGTGTCTGAGATCAAGGACAGCCAATTCTCGGGGCCAAAAATCAGAAGGCAAGCATTTTAAAGGACATCCTTGCCATTGTAGCCACCTCAATTCTGCAGGGAAAGATTTAAACTTCCCTTCCAGTCTCAAATTATTGATCTGAAGCAGCATCAACTTCGCCATTGATTTAAAGGCCTTCGTGTGAAGCACTCCAGCCTCCATGTCTCTCTCGACCCGTTGAAAATATTGCATCTGTTTAAGGAATCTCACGGCATTTGCAAAACTGGAACCACATCGAAGGTTTTCCCCAACACTTGCTTCATCACCTTTATTATATTTAGCAGCTCCTTTCTCGAAGTCTAGAACCATCCCATGAATACTGATTGTTCCCTGCAGTTTCCAGAGCAAAAAAATATTTAACAAAATATATAAGAAATTGGTATTCTAATCAGAGGGTGAGAGGGGTCAAAAAGATGCTGTAAATCGCCAAATCTACTAAGAAGCAGCTATTTTAAAGTCATGAACGTGTTGGAACACAATGTTTGAATTGAATGCCAAGCAATTCCATTGGTCTTATGCATGCACAGCATGGAAAGCGATGACGTTACGGCATTGTAAATCACAATATTCTAACGAACCATATCCAATTAAGGTTATGGCAATATGATTAAATAATACAATCTTGTCATCACTCCCTTATAAAACTAGGTCCAAGAGGGTGACTCGGATCAGAAAAACAAATATATAAAAAAGATCTCTTGGACCTGGGAAAAGAAATGTCATCTTTATTTATTTGTTTATTTTATATCTAAGTCACTCTCTCCTGCCCCCATTAGACCAGCAGCACAACTGCGTAAATATTTTGTTCACCAAAATATATAAAGGACTGTGAAGAAAAATCTTGAAATAGATATTATTTATAAATTTAAAAGATTGTGATCACCATTTAATTTTAAATTCTTTTTCTAAAAACTCATTGACAGAGCAATGTAGTCATCCATATTAACCATCGTCTCAATTTAGTCTAAAACATAATTACATACAATGCTCTTAAAGTTTGGTAGAATCAGATTATAATATCCTAAATGATATACGGCAAATCAGTTAAGTTTCTTGCCCTAACATTGATGATAATGGAGAGGCGAAGCACTTCAAATCATACGAAAAGAATTTAGCTTCAAACTGTAAGACCACTTTGAGTATACTTACTTTCAAATTCCTCAAGACATTTAGAATTTCAGATCGATCCCACAATCTACTACGCATTCCAGGATCAACACGGTTTTCCCGTTCAACAATTTGCCTTCCCATGTCTCTAATTTGATCATGCATCCAAATTGTTTCGTTCTCTCTGATTTTGATCAGACATTTTTTTGAAAGAACTTTGATTGCTTCCTCTCCATTAAATCTACAACCTCTCAGTACATCAATCACATCTTCTCGCTTCATCCTCATCTGAACGAACAGACAAGCAATGTCAAGGAAGATGCATTTCTCTTGTTCATTTAACCCCTCATAACTGATCCTCAACACATTATGTACGTTCCCAGGTTGAGTCAGCTTCAGCTTCTTCACAACATCAACCCATTCCCCTTCCTTTCTCTTCCCAAACAACATTGAACCAAACACTTCCAGAGCCAAAGGCAACCCTCCCGTCAGAGACACTATTTCCTTCGACAACTTCAAAAGAGTTTTGTCTGCAGGTTCATTTCTTCTCATTGCATGGTAACAGAATAGTTCAAATGAATAAGAGTCATCCAATACCTTAACCTCATAGAGGACATTAACATGAGTCTCAGGCAAAGCACGTGCATCCCTTGAGGTGATTACCATACGGCTTCCCTCATGGAACCATTCTCTTTTTCCTATTAGAGTATCGAGTTGCTTCACATCATCCACATCATCCAGGAATATCAGAACTCGATATTGATCAACTATTCTTTTGAAAGCACGAATATCATAACCAACAACTACTTCAGAGGAAATATCTCTGCTAATGTTGTTTCTTAAAGCAATTAAACCTCCGTCTTTCGATGAAGCTTCTCTAACACTTGAAATGAAGCTGCGATGCTCAAAATGCACAACGAGCCTGTTAAAAAGGGCCTTCGCAAGGGTTGTCTTACCAACCCCACCCATCCCATACAATCCCAACACTCTTATGCCGTTGGATCTCAAGTCCAACAATTCCGACAATTTCTCAATACGAGCATCGAGTCCAACGGTAAATTCAGCGACACCCACCGGAGTATTACTCAGTTCTCTCAAAACCCTCTTCACTAGAACTCGAATTTGGTCATCTTCCTTTTCTCTTTAGCAGAAATATAGCAAATTGCTCAGTAAATGGAGAACAGCGAAAAACTTATAAAAAAAAAAACCAAGAAGTGTAGAGTATAGCGAGTAGCTGTAAATGGATATAATTAGTATTTACAACTATCTACTATTCTCTGCACATGAATAGTCAGTACTAGAGAGGACCTGGGATTCGGAAAAACGCAACCAGCAGTTCCACCGACTTTCTTCATAGCTTCCCTCCACCTTAGTACCTCTTCTTCGGCCCTCTTGGCTTTGTGATCATCAAAAGAATCTTTGAATGGACCCCCTTGTTTTCGGACATCACGCGGATCGACGTTGAAGAACACCGGCAAAATCAGTCTCCCACAGTCGCAAATCTTAGCGAGCTTCTCCAGACTCCAATGAGAAGAAGCGTAGTTAGGAGAGACGATGATGATCGAAGCGGCCGAGTCATCGATAGCTCCTTGCGGACTCGGGGCCATCTGGTCACCGCGATCCAATCCAACGTCGTCGAGAAAAACCCGAACGCGGCTAGATTGGAGAGCGTTGTACAGGGGTTCGGTGAAGCAACCACAATTATCCGAACTTCTGAAGCTCAGGATCACGTCCCAGCGGCGCCTGAACGATGCCGGAGTTGACGAACTAACATCGCCGCCCGGTGACATTCTGTGTGACGACTGACGATTCTATATGGCTTTGGAAGAGAAGGAACGAGAGTACTTTCAGAACCGTGAGAATCCTCTAACGTTTCTATGGAATTATGGCAAGTTTCTCACGGAATCGGATTCTGAATGTCAAGTAGGTTTGCTAAGATTGAAGGCAATTTAGGATTCTCTTCGCCCTGTACTGGGAGGGGAGGAATAGAAAGAATTTAGAGAAAATGACGTTGAGGCCCCATGCAACATAAAATACTACAAAAATGTCGCAGAAAATTTGGTAATGATTCTGAAATCCTAAAGGGACTTAAGTATAATTAGGTGAATTGTAAAAAGACGCCTCTGTCCCTGGTGAGATGCACCTAAACTAACTAAAAGCTGCCCTGTTTTTCAGTCTGAAAATCAGCACTCCATACGCAGGAAGCAAGAGAGAGAAAACTCAAACTTCATTCTGCTTCTTCCTCTATTCCCATCTAAAAATCTCATCCACTCTATTAATATCAATCATTGGCAAAAATTGCTTGTGTTTTTTGTTGGTATGTGTTTGATCATTCAAGTTGGGGTTTTATTATAGGTGGGTAAGGTGATTATGGGTGTTCTGTTTCTAGGTATATTGTGGGTGGATTGAAGGTGGGCTTGCTCTGTCTGGGCATGGTTAGGGGGAATTGATGAGAAAGATGAAAGTTAGTGTGGTTAGAAACTCTTACTGCGAAATAGGAAAATATGTTATCAATATGGGCCGCGACAGTTGTCAATATAACTCCTTGACTTGTCAATAGTAACAGCATTGTACAGATTTACATTAGCTGATTTTGTAAATTTTTTACACAAAGGCCATGACTTTCTATACCCTTGACTCATTGGTAGAGGTCACAAAAAGAGGAAGAAGAAACAAAGAAGGGTGAGTGGTTACATGAGGTAAAAAAAAATGGAAAAAAAAAACCACTTTGATCCTAGACAAATGATGGCAAAAGAATTTTTTCGTAAATAGAAGTGACATAAATTTTTTTTGTAAATGTCACAACACACACAAATAATTAGTTTGATATTGGATACATGCAACTATATGTTTTTTTAATGGGGTTATAAAATCGGTATAATTACATGTATATGAAGTTGTAAATGAAAGTTAGCTGTGTATTACATTCTGATGCATAGTTAGTTGTCATTATTCGCACCCTTCATTGTCAATATATGCTTCATCACTTGTCACTTACTGCACCATTAGTTGTCAATTAATGTGCATGATATAAATTTTTAAAAAATATGATTTTTGCTATATAATGTTATACAACGTCATACAATATCACTAATTCCTCGAAACTAATCCATTTTTTATAATGTGATATAGAATAGTTATTAAAAGTCAATCATCACTGATATGAAGTCATAAAATCACTTGTCATGAACAACATATTCACTTGTTAATGGTTTTGCTCTATTATGATGTTAGTTTAATGGCAAAGGAAGAAAAAGATGAAGCTTAATGTAGGTAGAAATTCTTAGTACAAAATAGGATATTGTGTTGTCAATCAGGCCGCGATAGTTGTCAATGTGTGCCACGACAATTGTCAGTATAGCTCTTTGACTTGTCAATGACAGTTACATGATTCTTGATGCAGGTTTAAATTACTGACGGCGAGTACATCTGGAAAGCATCTATTTTGCTTTGTTCACATAGGGGAAAGTTTATAAATGATAGAGAAGATGATATGGGATATGTGGGAGGTAGTGTAAGAACAACAATATAAAGGAGGGCACAAGTTGTGAAGAATTAAAGGAAATTATATCATCAATTACTATAAAAGAAAGTAACTCATTTCTTTTGAAATTCTTAGTTGTGTATAGCTAAACAGCACCTAGCGTAGAAATTAACAATCTGAGTTATCCAAAATAACAAGTAATATAACAGGAGTTAATGATAAGTGATATAACAATTTCATAACAAATGGATGTGTTGATATTAACAATTAATATTCAAAATTTTTACAACTGAAGGTGTCATTTATTTATAATGTTAAGTGATATCTGCATTAAAATATAATTATTAAGAAGAAGTTGTTACTCAAATTTATGTTCAAATGATAAGAGACAGTGCCTTCATTAATAAGTTACAGTGCTCTATTGGCAAGTCACAGTGCCACCATTGACAAGTCATAATGCCACCATTGACAACTGATAATCCGCCGCGGCGTCTGACCATATCTGCTGCAGCACCTCCATCTATCCCAAGGAGTTGCCATTCTGTGTAAGGCGCCGTGGCGCTTGATCATATTCGTCGCAGTGCCCAACCCTTTCAAGAAATTATTTGGCAAACAACAAGTCACAGTACTACTATTGAAAAGTCATAGTGTCACCATTGTTAAATCATAGTGCCACCATTGACAAGTCACAATGCTACCATTGACAAGTCACAGTGCTTCCATTAACAAGTCACAGTGTCACTATTGACACTTCATTAATAATGATTATATATGACAATATAACCAAAATATAATATGACAGAGTAATTAAAAATATCATATGATACTAAAACAGGTTATGTAACTTGAATTCATATTTCTGACAACTTACATAAGCAAATTAATTGACAAGTCACAGTACTTCATTGACAAGTTATAACAGGTTTAATAACAATGCAGGGTGCGGGTAATGACAGCAGAATATAACATGCTAAGTTACACTGAAACCATTAACAAGTGAACATGTTGTTCATGACAAGTGATTTTATGACTTCATATCAGTGATGATTAACTTCTAATAACTATTCTATATCACATTATAAAAAATGGATTATTTTTGAGGAATTAGTGATATTATATGACATTGTATAACATTATATAACGAAAGTCATATTTTTTTTAAAATTTATATCAGCACATTAATTGACAACTGATGGTGCAGTGAGTGACGAGTGATGAAGCATATATTGACAATGAAGGGTACAAATAATGACATCTAACTATGCATCAGAATGTAATACACAACTAACTTTCATTTACAACTTCATATACATATAATTATACCGATTTTATAACCCTATTAAAAAAAAACATATAGTTGCATGTATCCAGTATCAAACTAATTATTTGTGTATGTTGTGACATTTACAAAAAAATTTATGTCACTTCTATTTACGAAAAAATTCTTTTGCCATCATTTATCCAGGATCAAAGTGACTCTTTTTTTTTCATTTTTTTTTCTTTTGCCTCATGTAACTACTCACCCTTCTTTGTTGCCTCTTCTTTCTCTTTTTGTGACCTTTACCAATGGGTCAAGGGTACAAAAAGTCATGGCCTTTGTGTAAAAAATTTAGAAAATCAGTTAATGTAAATTTGTACAATACTGTTACTATTAACAAGTCAAGGACTATATTGACAACTGTCGTGGCCCATACTGACAACATATTTTTCTATTTCGCAGTAAGGGTTTCTAATCACACTAACCTTCATCTTTCTCATCAACTCCCCCTGAACCATGCCCAGACAGAGCAAGCACACCTTCAATCTACCCACAATATACCCAGAAACAGAACACCCATAATCACCTTATCCACCTATAATAAAACCCCAACTTGAATGACCAAACACACACCAAACCAAAAACGCAAGTCATTTTTGCCAATGATTGACATTAGTGGAGTGGATGAGATTTTCAGATGGGAATGGGGAAAGAAACAGAATGATATTTGGGTTTTTTCCCTCTTACTTCTTGCATATGGAGTGCCGATTTTCAGACTGAAAAACAGGGCAGCTTTCAGTTAATGTGGGTGCATCTCACTAGGGGTAGAGACGTCTTTTTATGATTCACCAAATTGCACTCAAGTCCCTTTGGGACTTTAGAATCATTACCAGATTTCTTAGGATTTTTTTGTAGTATTTTGTGTTGTATGGGACTTCAGTGTCATTTGCCCAAGAATTTAAACCCTCAAACTTCAAATTCAAATGACAATTTGACAGTTGTTCTGTGCGGGGGACGTCATGTTTAGGCGGGGCACACACGAATAAACATCAACTTTTCGCCTGTGTTGGCCAATAGAATTGGTCAAGTCATTTGTTTTTTTTGAATGAAAAAGGTTACAAAACTAAACAAAACACTCAGCCCAGGTGAACAAGGGCCAGGGGCGACTGCTATCCCTCGCCACCGTCCAACTCAACGCTAAGAGTGGGAGGGTTTGGTTAAGTCATTTTTCAGTCAAGAAACGTCCTCTCATTGACTGAAGCCTGAATTGAATAATTGAACAAAAAAAAAAAAAGAATGCAAATTTTTGCAATACTTTTGATTATAATGTGTAAATATGTTTTTATATATTACTACTTAATCTTAATATAAGATCTTATTTAATTTTTATTTTGATCATAATATAAGATTCTAATTCACTTTATCTTTTATATTTATTTATTTTTTTCAAGATAGTCCTTCTAATAATGATAATTCTAGCCAACAAATTTGATTAATAAGAATATTTTAATATAGATAACATTTATTTATTACAAATAACTAACTAAATTTTTTTTTAATCTATTTAAATTAATCAACTAGCTCTTATATTTAAGACAGGAGGTAGTATATGAAATCTAAATATAAGTAGCATATTTCACTGTTTATCAATAGTATAATGCATAATAAAGTTCATATATGTTGACCAAAAAATTTTATATTATATACATTCATCCCTAATAAAAGTGTGTGCAGTTAAGAAATTGTGTGTATCACCATACAGCCGTACTAAATAGTACAAAGCTAAAGATGGGACGTGATAATAATTTTTAGCAATATTGTAGATTGCAGTTACATGGTCACACACATTTAGGTAGGTACATATAATATCTATAGATCATATCTATGTGTACTAAAAAATATTTTAAAACTATAATGCAAATACTAAATTAAACTCAGGGCAAAAAAATACTAAATTAAACTCAGGTATAAATCAAGCGTATATAACACATTCTATATAAAATCTTTCTTTTTCTTTCCTCTTGACCCCGGGGGGGGGGAATCATCGTCGGGATTCAGCGCAGTCGTGAGAACAAAATTGATGGCAAAATATGAGATTGGACGTCATTGACGATAACGAAATAAAGATAGAATGAGGGATCAAATGCTCTGGCCAGAATATAAAAGAGTTAATATATTATTATAATATAAATTATAAATCATAATGTTAAATTTTCAACCGAGC